GAGCACCTGCTGGTTGCTCTAGGTCATATTTTCAGGCTGGAAGGAAAAGCACAAGTTTGCCAAGTGCTGGGCTTCGTTCTACAGAGAAAACCCACAGCAGTGACAATGACAGCGACACAAACACCACCTGGAGAGACTCGGATCAGCCAAGAACACAGCTGCCTCATTACAGAATGGGGCCTCAGGTTACCAGACTCCTGACTGAAAATAGTACTTTCCCTCTTGCTTTTACTTTCCACGTCCACTTCTTACCTAGTTTTCATCGTGAAGACTAGGGTTGATCAGTCTTGCTAGGAAAATGAGTTTGGAGGCAAGTCTTGAAAATACTATCCTTTGAGGAATTCCTTGCAGGTGAAGAAGGAATAGCTCAGACAGAGGACTGTGAAGGAAGCAGGCAGACAGTGAGGGAACAGAGGAGAGGCGAGTGGACAGAAGTGAGACGGTGAGACAAACCCACACAGTGAGCTACTGAAAGCCTGAAATAACTGGAGAGGCTGCGACAGCTGAAACGGTGAGAAGAGGGCGAGGAGATGACACAGATAGTTTCCAGGGGCTATAACATTCTTGACGTGGTACAAGAATCATAGGTTTATTAATCATGGATACATTTCAACCCTGAATATTCATTGGAAGGACTGCTGCTGAAGCTGAAGCTCCAATACTCTGGCCACCTGATTCGAAGAGATGATTCATTGGAAAAGACCCCGAAGACAGGAAAGTTTGAAGGCGGGAGGAGAAGGGGATGACAGAGGGTGGGATGGTTGGATGGCATCACCGACTCAATGGACATGAGTTTGGGCAAGCTCTGGGAGATGGTGAAGGACCGGGAAGCCTGGCGTGCTGCAGTCCATGGGGTGGCAAAGTCGGACACGACTGAGCCACTGAACAGCAACATCATCATTTACTGGAGAAAGCATTCGAGGGCTCAGGTGCTTATGGCGGTGCTTGGTCTTGTCGTTAAATAAGTTCTAGACAGTTAACCTTGATAAAAGCAAACAGGTATGACTGATGTAATATAACATTTGAAAAGCGAACACATAATGTGACTGCTGAGCACTAGGCGCCGCTCTCATCACTTTGCAGATACTGAATCATCCCATCCTCCCATTGCTCCCATAAAGGAACCATAAACCCTGGGTGTAGTCGCCAGAATACTGCTGAGCACCAATGGTGCACCATGGTGTCCTGGGCTGGAAAGGGGAGGAGGGACTGTGGAGAAGTACAGAAGGGCTCTGGTTTTCCCTGGTGGCTCAGACAGCAAAGAATCTGCCTGCAATGCAGGAGACCTGGGTTCGATCCCTGGGCTGGGAAGATCCGCTGGAGAAGGGAATGGCTACCCCCTCCAATACTGCTGCCTGGAGAATCCCGTGGACGGAAGAGCCTGGTGGGTTACAGTCCACGGGGTTGCAGAGTCGGACACGACTGAGTGACTAAGCATGCGCACAGAAGGGCTTTAGGGAGGGACTTTAAGAGGCTGAGACCTGGGCTGAGCTGTGATGGTGGTGGTATGAAACAGGATGTACACAGTGGTAACGCTGGCAGCTGGAGAACATAGTGAGAGAAGGTCTCACCCTCCAAAGGATGTAAACCCTGAGTCACTGGGACTGCGAGGAGTCATCAGAACAGGGGGTTGGCCAACTCTGCTTGTGGGCCCAACTTGGCCTCTTTCTGTAAACAAAGTTTGGCTGGAACGCAAGCCCTGCCAGTGGGACCGTGTTGCTGCTCTGCGGTGGCCCGGGGGCGGGGCGGGGGGGGGCAGTTAAGGAGTTATGACAGAGACCGAGATGGAGCCCATCTAGTTCTTGACAGAACGAGATTGCTGAGGCTGGTTCTATAGCCTGATTACTCCATCTGTGAGGCAGCAACAGCCACACTTGCGAGCTTGGCAGAAATGCAGACTCCCAGGCTCACCCCCCCACTCCCCGACACAGAGAAGCAGAATCTGCCTTTTGAAAACCTCTCTTATGCACAGAAAGCAAGCTCTCCAGTCTCTCATGTGCATGGCTGGGAGGAGGCGGTGAGGCTGCAGATGAAAAGTCTGCGTGTATTCTATATATAGACACAGAAAAGTGGTAAAGATTTTTCCCGTAAAGGAATGGGGCTGTCAATTCATGCTCTGGAAAGGTCCCTCTGTCAGGGCATGAGCGTAAGAAATGGGTGGGCAGCTGGGGTCAGAACCCAGGCAAAGGAGGACCTGAACAACAACACAGGGGAGAATGAGGTCCAATTTGTTCTTTCTTCCCAGAAGCAAAGAATGTTTTAAGAGATGACTCCAGCTTCACTAATGTCGCCAATTTTGTTTCTAACAGAGTATCTGTTATAATCTATTAGGAAAGAGAAAAATACTTGGTAACGAAAACACTAGTAATCAAGTGTCTCCATGTATCCCAAATGTATCTCCATCTAAGGAAAGCTTCCAGATCATAATGCACAAAGGATGACATTAGGTGAATAGAAAGGGAGCTGGAAGATTAAATGAGGATCTACTCAACAGACATGTATTATGGAGGCTGCTAACAAGTCAGCTCACAGGATACTTAAAGGTGTAATGTGTGTTAGGACTCACTTTTCCCCCATATAAACGTTAAGATTCTGCTTGATACTCAATTTTTCTGTATTTTGGATGAATAAGCAATCTGAAGTTCAAAAGAAACAAAGCAGCGTTTGAGACGACCACGCCAACACTATCCCTTCCAGCTTGGCTGACAGCTTCCAAGAAACTGCTATTTAACATTTTGCCTCCATAAGAATCTAGAAAAGTTTGACAGGGTTATTTGTGGGGTTCAGCATGCTTTAAAGTAATGACAGCAATATAGATAAAAGCAGATGGGTGAAAATGGGAAATTCCTTTCCTTAGATGCTTAGGTTTAACATTTTACATTCACTTTATTGGCAGAAACAATGCAAAAGAGAAAAGGCTTATATATCTGCTTTGAAAAATGTAACATAATTAATAAATCTCAAGTAAGGAAAAAAAAACCTAACCTGTGTTGAGAAGAATCTCTATGGAAGATTCATTGATAAAAACTTACAAAGTATATGAGTTCAGTACAATAGTAAATGGTGCTTAAAATTAACAGCAACATTTACACAGTGCTTCCTGTGAATTTACAGTGTACTAAATAGCATTATATGGACTATCTCATTTAATCCTCAAAACACTCTGATATTGGCTCCTTATGAATGGGAAAACTAAGGCACAGGGAGGTTAAATAACTTGCCCAAGGTCACACGGCTGAATAAGTTAAGTTATGGATCTGAAGCTGGGCCTTATGCTCTTAACAATAACTATGTGGGGGTGCATGTGTGCTCAGTTGATCAGTCTCTTTGCGACCCCCATGGACTGTCACCCGCCAGGCTCCTCTGTCCGTGGGATTATCTCAGCAAGAATGCTGGAGTGGGTTGCCATTTCCTTCTCCAGATCATCATCCCGACTCAGGGACTGAACCCAGATATCCTGTATTGGCAGGCAGGTTCTTTACCAGTGAACCACCTGGGAAGCTCCTAACTATAAGCACCTCTCTAATAGCATCTACTCGCCTTTCCTTTTGCCCCCATGTAGATCGCAAATTGATGAAAATGTAATGGACTCCCATTGTTACTAAAATCAGGGACAAAGAAAACTCTTAGGATCTCGACATTCAAAATCTTAATGTGGGGGGGGGGGGCAGTGCCCTTTGGACAATGCCCAAAATTTGACGTGCAATGCAATAAAAACGAGGAATAGTTAGGTGGATTTGACTTAAGACACTGGACTATTTTTCAGTAAGATAGAATGAAAATTAAGTCCCAGTAAAATTCTGAAATGTATCATGTAACTGCTTGTTAATAGTAAATATGGCTGCAGACTTTTGATGATAATTACTATGAATACACTATCTTCTGGTTAACAGGTCTGTGAAATGCAGGAACTCTAAAAGGTAAAATAAACACAGGCCTAAAAAATTAGGCCCTGGCCTAATACTGTCGACTGAACCGTTCTCATATTGGCTGAGCGTGCTTATTTAAGTAATTGCCTGACTGTAAATGAACGGAAGTATTAAAGTTGGCACAAGGCACAGCATCCACATGGCACATGCTTTGTTCCCGGAGCTTTATTCCATCAATACTCTTGGAAAAAAAGAGAAGTCACTAAATGAATAATGGAAGAACACAAGGCAGTGTGGAGGTCTTTTACATTCCTCAAATTGTCAAACATCCTATACAAAGTTCTTTTTCAACTCTGAGTTCATCATATTCCATTTTAAAAACTAATTTTACCAAAGAACAAGCGCATCCCCTCCAAATTTTGTTTCAAAATAAGATTCAGGTAAGAGCTGACCATATTCCATGTAAATATTCATTTTTGCCAAAGGAAAAAAAAATCCATCCCCTCACATTTTCACAGCTTCGAAATAACATCCAAGTAAGAAGAAGAAAGGCGAAAAGGAGCCAGGAAGATGAAAAAGTGAGTGAGAGAAGAGGCGACAGAAACGAAGGAATGACAGGGTCACCTGAACTCAAGACCCCATTCGCTGAGCAGCCTCCGGTTTTCCTATTGAACTTTCCCTATTAAGACAAGAAGACACACCCTGCTGGTGGTATTTTCACAAGTACAGATAGGGAAGCCGTGTGTGTTATTTAAAGGTACGGACAATACACATAATTTGGGGCGACTTCCCTGCGTACCGTGGCATTACAAACAATCACGACTGCATGTCACCTTGCTCTCAGCCGAGTCCAGCTCGTAAGGACAAAAGGACCGACCATCCGTTCCGAGGGCCGGGCTGCGGGCTCCCCTTGGAGCCAGCTCGATTACGCCTCCGGCCGCTGCAGACGCGCTCCGCCGGCCCCGCGTCTCCCTCGCCGGCCCCCGCCGAGGCTGGACGGGCGGTGGGCGGCGGGGACCCGCGGCCTCCGGGGTTGGAGACCCGGCTGTCCCCGCGCCCCGGCCCCTCCCGGCCCCCGGCGGAGGCGCGATCCAGCGGCGGGCGGTGGGCGGGGTGGGGGGGGGCACTCACCTTCTTCTTCCAACTCGAATTTCTCCAGCATGCCGGCTTCCGCGGGTCCCGGGGCCGCCGCCAGCGCCGCCTGAGGAGGAGGAGGACGACACGGATCAGCATGCGCTCGGCGGCGCTCGTCCCCGGCCGCGCGGGCGGGGGCGCAGGGCGGGGGTGCAGGGAGACTGGGGCGCGGCGGGGCCGCGGGGGGCCGCAGGGCCGCTGTACGGCGGCGGGGCCGCGGGGGCGGGGGCGGGGCCGCAGGGGCGGGCCGGGGGCGGGGCCGGGTCGCAGGGCCGCGGTACTGCGGAGAGGCCGCGAGGGCCGGGCCGCAGGGGCGTGGCCGGGACGCGAAGCCCGGACACGGGGGGCCGCAGGGCCGCGGTACAGCAGCGGGGGCGGGCCGCAGGGGGCGGACAGCAGGGGCGGGGCCGGGATGCGGTACGGCGGCGGGGGGCGGGGCCGGGGCGGAGCGCGGGGTTAGAGGGCGGGGCCGCAGCGCAACGGCAGTGTCACGGGGGCGGGGCCTAGGCCGCAGGGGCGGGGCCAGGGGCGGGGCCGGAACGCGGGGGCCGCGGGGCCGCTGTACGGTGGCGCTGGGGCGCGGCCTGGGTGGGCGCGGGAGTGGGTGGGGGCGGGGGTGGGGGCGCGGGAGTGGGTGGGGGCGGGGCCGCGGTGCCGTGGGTGGGCTCAGCTGCCCCGCTGGGCGCTCCGGCCTCGCTTGGCGCCGGGTCGCCCCGAGAAGGGGGCCTCCAGCGCAGCTGGCAGGACGGGGGTGGGTCGGGGGTGGCACAGCGCGGCCCAGCTCGCGGGGCCCGGCAGGGAACCGGCGGCGCGGCCCAGTCCCCCCCTCCCCGCCCCAGGCCGGCCGGGGCCTGACCTGCCGCCCCGCCATCCCGAGTGGAACGACCCGCTTCTGCTTCCCGCCCCCTCCGCGCCCCGCGCGTTGGTACGGACCGGCGAGAGGGAACCGTGGGAAGAGGACCCCGGGGGACCGGGGCTGGTCCGCGCCAGGGCGGTGTGTGCGCCCCGCTCCGGCCGCCGACCCGCCTTTCGCCGAGGCCGTTCTTCTCATCCTCGGCCAGTCCTCCCACCCCCTCGCTCACACCCGCTCACCTTCCCCCAGCCACCCACGGAAGCGCGTCCCGCAGGTTTAACCTGCGCAGGTGTGGTCTCGGCCGGCCCGGGGGTGGGGCCCGAGGGGTGCGGAGCCAGGTGGGGGTGCGGTGGGCGGGGCGGTGTGCCCGGGAGAGGGTGATGGAGCCTGCGAGACCCCAGGGGAGATGACACCGCAGACGGGGGCCGGGGGGCGGTGTGAATGAGGACGTGCTTGCTTGCTTTTCTTTTAAATTTTAGCCCGGCATCCTGCGTGCAGTCCATGGGGTTGCGAGGAGTCGGAGACAACAAAAAAGCCCATCCCTTTTCCCCCTATTAAAATTTTTTTCCCCTGGAATACACATATTGTAGATGCACTGTTGCTATCAGTTTTACCCGGCCATGAAACTCTTGCTTCCTCTCTTCGTAGCTCATTCTCTTCTTTGGAGAGCCAGTGCCAAAAAGTACATAAAATTCTAAATCTGGCTCTGGCCACTTCTGTTACCCTGGATCTGGGTATCTGAGACTCTCCGATCGCCAGCTCAGGTTGGCAGGCGGCGGGGCCTGGCAGCAGAGAGCTTCCTGGAAGAGCAGGGTAGCCAAATAGGCGACAGGCACCCCTCTCCTGTGTTACAGGCAATGACTGCCCCAGGTGCAGGGCCTTTAGCTAACTGGAGAGTGCAAGCACCGTGATAAAGAGATTAGCTCGCCAGCGCTGATTAAGGCTCCACACCGCCCCCCCCCCCCCCCAAGGAACTTGGTTCTGTCATTATTGCAAGCCTAGCCTGGAGGAGGAAGTACTCATATCTTTATGCCTTCTTTTTGCTCTGTCGTCTCAGTTGGGCCAATTTAAGTCTTTTTTTGTTTTCTTGCCACACCCTGTAGCATGTGGGATCTTAGTTCCCTGACCAGGAATTGAACCTACACCCCCTGCATTGGAAGCATCATGTCTTAACCACTGGATCCCCCTATGTCCTACCAATCTCTTAGTCTTAATCTTTGCCTTTAAAAATGTGGGGGAAGGAAAAGAAAAATATTTTTGTAAGAGGTGGTAAAAACCCTTTGCTGTGTCATGCTTAACAGTAAAAGACTGAATGCTTCCTCTCTAAGTTCAGAAGAAGATAAGGATGTCTGCTTTCACACTGTTTTTATTCAACATAGTACCGGAAGTTCCAGCCACTACAATATGGCAAGAAAAAATAAAAGACATACAAGTTGGAAAGGAAGAAATAAAACCATCCCTACTTGCAGGTGATATGATTGTCTGCATAGAAAGTCCCAAGGAATCTACTAATTAAAAAACCTCCCACAAAACCCCCAGAACACCAAAACTGGAACTAATGAGTTCAGAAAGGTTACAGGATACAAGATCAATACATAAAAGTCAATCATATTTGTGTATGCTGACAATGAACATGGGGAAACTGGTATTAAAAGTAATATTATTGGGACTTCCCTGGTGGCCCAGTAGCTAAGACTCTGCATTCCCAATGCAGGCAGAACTAGATCCCGGGTCAGGGAACTAGATCACAACATGTCGAAACTAAACACCCGACATGTTGCCACATGGGAGACTGAAGATCCCTTGTGCCACAGCTAGGACCCAGCGCAGCCAAATAAATAAATATTAAAAGAAAAACCAACATTATTTACGATCACCACAAAGAAAATTAAATACTTAGGTATTCACTTGGGAGAACATGTCACAAGATCTGTATGCTGAAAATTACAATGTGTGGATGAAAGAATACTAAAATAAGTGGAGAGGTACTTCATGGATCGGAAAACTCAGCATAGTAAAGACATCATTTCTCTCTCCAGACTGATCTCCAGGTTGAATGCAATACCCATCAAAATCCCAACCAGGTTTTTCATAGACAAGACAAGCTTCTAAAATTTACACGGAAAGGCAAAGCTAAAATAGGCCTGAAAGAGAAGAATTGAAGTGGGAAGAGTCACTCTATGGATATTAAAGCTTACTACAGGGTCTCCCCTAGTCGTCCAGTGGCTAAGACTCTTGTCTTCCAATCCAGGGGGTTCCAGGTTCAATCACTGGTCAGGGAGCTAGGCCCCACATGCTGCAACTGAGTTTGCATGCCACAACTAAAGATTTCACATGCCACAGCAAAGATCAGAGAGCCCACGCGTGCAGCGCAGACCCAGTGCAGCCAAACAGATAATTATTAGTACAAAAAATAAAGCTTACCACAGCGCTACGGTAATCAAGACTGTGTGGTTTTGGCAGGGAGATAGACACAATGATCAATAGAAACAAGTAGAGAATCCACAAATAGATCCACATAAATACTGCAAATTGATGTATGATAAAGATGCAAAGACAATGATGCTGGAGCAACTGGCAAAAAACCCTAATATAAGCCTCACACCTTATACAAAAATGAGCTAAAATTGGATCAAGGACTTATAAATATGTAATACTATGAAACTTTTAGGAAAAAAATAGGAGAAAGCCTTTGGGACCTATTGATAAAGAGTTAGATCTGACATCAAAAGCATGAGCCGTAAAATAAAAAATTAATGAATTGGACCTCATTAAAATTTAAAATGTTTGCCCCGTGACAGAGCCTGTTGAGAGGATAAAAAGACAAGCTACAGAGTGGGAGAAAAAGATTTTCAGACCACAAAGCCAGCAAATGACCAGTATTTGGAATATGTAAAGAACTCTCAAAACTCAATAGTAGAAAAAGAAAACAATCCAGTCAGAACATAGGCAAAAGATACAAAGAGACATTTCACTGAAAAAGATGTATAGATGGGAAAAAAGCACATGAAAGTAAGGCCGGCATCATTAGCCATTAGGGAAATGCTAATCAAAACCACAATAAGCTATCACCTCACACCTGTTAAGACTGGTCAAAATAAAAATGGTGGTCACACCAAATGCCAGTGAGGATTCAGAGAAACAGAATCTCTTGTGTGTTGCTGTGGGGATGCAAAATCATACCACTCTGGGAAACAATTTGGCAGTTCCTTAAGGAAATAACCTCCCAACTGTCATATGATAGATACATCAATGGCATTCTTGGGCACTTATCCTGGGGGAAACAAAACATGTTTACACAAAAACCTATGTATGCATGTTCAAAACAGCATCATTTGTCACAGCCAAAACTGGAAATAACAGATGTGGTTCAACAATGTTACATCTATACAGTGGAGTACTATTCAGCAGTAAAAAGCAATTAACTATTGATACATACAGCCACATGCATGAATGTCCAGGCAAGTATCTCAGTGAAGAAAGCCAGTCCTTAAAGGCTTCCTTGGTGGCTCAGATGGTTAAAGCATCTGCCTACAATGTGGGAGACCTGGGTTCAATCCCTGGGTTGGGGAGAGCCTCTGGAGAAGGAAATGGCAACCGACTCACAGTACTCTTGCCTGGAAAATCCCATGGACTGAGGAGCGTGGTAGGCTACCATCCATGGGGTCGCAAAGAGTCAGACACGACTGAGCTACTTCACTGTCACTTTCAAAGATTATACACTGTACGATTCCATTTGTATAATGTTCTTGAAATGACAAAATGACAGAACAGATTAGTAAATGCTAGGGGTCAGGGATTGGGGTGGGGGAACAGAGGTACCTGTGGCCATAAAAGTGATGATAGAACTGTTCTGATTCTTAACTGTATCAAAGTCAATATCCTGCTTGCATCAGTAAGTCAGTTCAGTTGCTCAGTCGTGTCCGACTCTGCGACCCCATTGATGGCAGCACGCCAGGCCTCCCTGTCCATCACCAACTCCTGGAGTTTACCCAAACTCATGTCCATTGAGTTGGTGATGCCATCCAACCATCTCATGCTCTGTCATCCCCTTCTCCTCCTGCCTCCAATCTTTCCCAGCATCAGGTTCTTTTCAAATGAGTCAGCTCTTTGCATCAGGTGGCCAAAGTATTAGAGTTTCATCTTCAGCATCAGTCCTTCCAGTGAACACCCAGGACTGATTTCCTTTAGGATGGACTGGTTGGATCTCTTTG